GCATCGGCAGGCGGACTCTCAACCACTGTGCCACCAGGGAAGCCCTACAAGTGTTTCTTTAATGACAGAATAAATTACAAAAAAGGAAGCTAGAAAGACATTCCAACATATGACACTGTATTAGACTCACTATATTAGTATACCTTCTACCATTCTATTACTAAGATTAGCAGGAAGAACAAAGGTCCATTCCAGTGCATTTTCAACACATCATTCCTAAGCACAGGAAGATTCACAAAGAACAGCTGTAAGAAGTGAACCTCCCAGGTTATACCTCCCCCACTGAAAGCATGAGGAAGGGATGAGCTTGTCTCAGCACTTCTTAGAAAGGTCATGCTGTTGTACTGCTATTATGACACAACAGTAGGGAAGAGGTTTATTGGTTCATTTCCCAAGAGGATTACTCTGGCTTTGGACTAAGTAATGAGAGGGGATGACCCAGGCAGTACAGCATAAGGAGAAGGTGAAAAGGGGAAGATGCTAGAAATAATTCACTGTATACTCTTCATGAATGATTCACTTTCAATAAGTCAGACACTGTAACATAATTCAGGCAATCATAATGCAAGAGAAGTTATATCCAGAATTACGAATTAAAAACTTACCACCTAGAAGGAAAATTTATTTTTAAAATGAATCCAGAGGAGGAAAAGAAGAGAAACACATTTTCACACAGTTAGTTTTTATGATAGCTAGTATACTTTCAACAGACTTGTAACAGCATGCATTGTATATAAGAATAAAAAAGTCTAATATACAAAACTTAAACAACAGACAATCTGAAGTATTTAGCACACATTTTTAAAAACAAACCTGAGAACTAATAATCACTAAAAACATGATTTTGAAGGCGATACAGAGAGATTTACTTGCATTCATAATTTTCTCCCTCATATGTAATTCTGCCACTATAGCCAGTTGTTATTATGTACGATTGGCATAAATCAAGATAATATTAAACTGTTCATTTATATAAACTGTCTCTTATATCCTAGTTGCCAAAAAGAAGTGCGATGCATCATTTAATCTCCTTTCAATTCCTCAAATGTGGAAAACAAAAGCAAATCCAAGATCTGTGGCTCTGAACCTGTGTACAAGAGGCCCTAGGGTGCCCATGGCTTGTCTGGACATCAAGCATGCGGAGTTATCTGAATAAATAACAAACCTCACACCTTTATTTACTGTTATGCTTCAAATTATTGTGATTAATAAGACACATGCTTATTTGAAAGTATTATTAAAGCAATATTAGCTTTTTAAAAAGCAATCCAGCTTTTAATAGAAATAAATCCCCACAAATCTAGCAACTTCCATAGAAGTTCTATGACATCCCCAACCTTTAAATAAGAATCAAACTATTACTGGATTCTTTTTTTCATTATTACACATTTTCTCAGTCAAAAGAGAGTAAATGCACAACTATCATATGTGGATGGGACCTCAAGATATCCAATGTGAAGAAGATTCCTCGTGCTGGGACGCACTGGCTTGGATTAATGTTTACATGTGGACAAGCATAATCAAAAGTGTTTCCTTCAGCTGAAAGTTAGGTTAAGAAATTGAGTGGGAGGAAAAGAAGGGGACAGAGTTGCAGCTGTTATCACAAGATGAACAGAGAAGAAAGCAATGAAAACGTGCTTCACTGTTAACAGGAAAACAGAGGTTAGGACAGTACACTGATTGGTCATCCCCATATCAAGTTGAATGAATATTAGACTCTAACACTCATTTCAAGGCTCACACTGTGGGAATCCCAGTACCTTCATTTCCACAAGACATATTATCCACAAATATCCCCTGAGAACATCTACATTTTCAGTCTATATAATCTCAGGACACCAGTTACATATGCCTACAAGTCACTAACGTGTTCTAAATTCACCTCCTGCAAACTGCAGAAGGAATTTCCTAGTTGAGTATTGTGAGATTTGTGAAGACAATGTTGAAATTATGATTCTATCACTATCTTCTCCTTCACTTTCTTGACAGTAGAACCATTCTTCCCCCCCACCCCGCCCTCAGTCCATCTTAATGACCCCATACAGCTCCATTTTGCAACTCTTAAAGAGGAGCACCATGTTTAAAATAAGGTGTGACCTTTTGGAATAGTAGAACAAATTAGGACCAATATCTAAATTTTAGTTCTTTTAATGTGGTTTCTTAATTGTAAGATAAATCATATAGCAAATCAAGGGATGATCTAGACTCTTTAATTATAAGAAACATGATTTTCTCTTCAAAATAAATGGACCTGGGACTATGAAATAATTTTTGTGCTAAGTACATGTTGATCTATATTTAACTAAAACATTTTCTCTAAAATGAACAGTTCAAGTAAATGCTAAAATTCCACTTCTATGAAAGGTGAAAGTTTACATATAATTCTAAATTCTATAAGTTCATCCTATACTTTAAATAGAAGATGAGACTGTAGATTACCTTGATATTTCAACTAGCAAGAGACCAGGTAAGTTGAGGAGTGTAAAGAAGTCTGAATTTTAAGACTTAACTACTATATTTAGTGAAAACATAGTCGACACTTTCAGATCTAACTTATATCCTCTTTCCACTATTCTATATCAACCCTAGTAGATAACCAGAAAACAAAACAAAAACAAAAAACATAAGTAAAAGCTCTGTCTCTGCCACCTAGTGGAGAAAGAAGATACAGAACACACATTACAGCTAAAACAACTCCAGACGTGTAGGCATACGGAATTCACCTAAAATTATGTTCAGTGCTAGCATGTAGAATAAGTTATTTCTTTTTCCAAAGGTTTATGTTTACCTACCTGCCATGTAGAGAATGAGGTAAAGGGAGGCAGAGGATAAACACAAAAGCAAAGATAAGCCCAAAATATTTTGGAGCTCTGTAAGACAGCTCTTCACACACCTACACTTACATGGCCATGGAGATCTGTATTAAGAAGCATCATTGCACAGGTGAGGCAATGGACTCCATCTAACAAAAGAGACAAGGACAGAAAGCATTAATTCACTATTTCCTGTTGGACTCCTCAGTATCATTAAAATAGCATACCTATGCTTAATTAAGAACCTATGAAAATGCAATACTGTGGCTAGGCAAAATTAATCATATTCATTTGGGGAAACACAAAATAGATAAAGAAAAAGTTATTAAAAGGATCTCAATGCACAGATTTGGACTCTACTGGTGATGAAGTAAATTATTCCTACCTCTGGAGGACAATTTGATAGTATATATCTAAAACTTTGAAACAGTGTCCTTTGACACAGCAAACCTACTTCTAGGGCTTTATACTAATGAAATAAGGAGCTACCCAAAACACAAGGATATCTAAAGAAAGACTGCTTACAATGGGGAATGAGTAAATACAACCCACCTAAAACACAGTTCTGTTATGCTGAAGTCATTAAAAATGTGGTTCAAGTATACATGTTGAAATGGAAAGATATTTTACAATAAAGTATTATGAAAAACACATTATATGTAGTATGATTCTATTTAAATATAATACATCTAGAATGATATATAATATAATATTAAGAGATTATTATCTCTGGATGGTACAATTATAATTTTTATCTTTTTTATTTAAAGTTTCTCAATTTTCTATAAGATATAGAAATGAAAATAAATTATTTAATACTGTTACTTTTTTATTTTCTGGGAAGAAAGTGAATTAGGAAAGAAGCAAAAGTTAAAGAAAACCAAGATTTGCATCTTCCAATGTTTACTCTTTGGGTATTAGTTCTCTGGCTAAAAATATATAGACAGAAATAGTCATCCTTTTTCTTGTCATTCTTTAAAGGCAACATTTAGGTTGACTGGTCCAGGATGCTATGGATCAGACAAAAGTGAAATACTGAAATAATCACTGAAGATTTAAAAATTAATATTTAGGGGAAAAACGTTACCCAAACCAGCAAGGTCATTTCACACTTATATGGAAACATCACTTTCTCGTCTTACTTTACAAAGGAAAAGAAAAAGCACTAAAAGTTAAGCTTCTTACTTCCAAACCTTAGGATTAGTTCTCCTTATTCTCTCCCTGCAATTCTCAATCCAAGTAAAGTAGACAATAGCAGTTGCAGATGCAGAAAAATCTTATTAATTTATACTAAATGTACAAAAAAGCTTGTCTCACTACTGAATTCATGAATTAAAGATAGCTTATCTTCCAAACTATGCCTCTGAGTAGGTGATTTCTCTAAGTGGACTATCTCTAAGTAGATGCTACTAAATGCTTAAAAGTTTATGTATCCCAGTATTCTAAATACATATAAAACAAATTATTGAATATATTTATAAAACTCAGCAGCTAACTCTCAAATATCCTTATCAACAGCCAATTGAGTACACAAATCCATAGTCCTTGTTTCACTTAGTAATGTCAATGTCTTCTTAGATTTAAGAAGGTTCTAATAAAAACAATCCACTTCTATACCTTTCATTCTCTAGTCAAGGCCGACAGTGATACAGACAGTGAATAAACGGTCTACATAGAGTCAAAGGAATAAAGACAGTTCCTATTTTATGGATAGGAATGTGACTTTAACAATCAGTTAATTTAGCTACAGCCTGCAGGGCAGAGGCAGCAGGAACAATCACTAGTCAATATAAAGTACACTGACACAATGTTAATTGGCAATATGGAAGCTAAGAGATAATTATAATTTCTAGTGCATCTAGTCTCAGTGATTTATTCCAGAACTTGTAAGTTTATGAAAGATACTCCGATTGTAAGTGAATATGCTTGACTTCAAACCCTGAAAACTTTGCTTTATTATAAGAATTGAAATGGAGAAATGACCTATCTTCATAGGGTATATCGAAAATTAAACAGTTTAAAGTTGCTTTTTAAAATAGTAAACACAAATATAGATCATCAAAATCATAAACCAGAGTCAGTGGTCAGTGCTGTAATAATGAGTGTCCAAAAAAAGCACCAGAGACACACCACAAACTCCAGTGAGATTTGCAAATGTTTCCAAAACTAACCATAAAACTATACATGCCCTTCATCAAGAAGCTTAGAGATCAGGTATATAGGAAGGAGAAATAAGAAAACTATCATTTCACTTATTACAATGCACACTGACATAAAATCTCAGTGACAAACCATGAGCAATTTAAAGAAAGTATACTGTAATACTATGGAACTGGAAAATGGAGTAAAAGTAACTAAAACAAGAGTAAAGAATACCATGCAGTCATTAAACATCATGGCTTTTAGAGAATATTTGATAACATGAGAAAATGCTCACAATGAAAGGGAAAGACAGTAGGAAACAAAACTCTGTAATGATTCCAATTTGACATAAAATATTGTACAAATAGACTAGAAGGAAGTAACTGTTAGTTATCTCTAGGTAATTAGAGATAACTAGGTGATTTTCATTTTCTTCTGTATAAGTTTCCATATTTTCCATAATAAATGTAACCTTCACACATTGAGGAAAATAGCCCTTGTTATAAGAAAGAAATTCAAGCATTTCCATCAGATTACCTTGTGAAGCAATGATATCTGGGTTACAATAAAAATATCTATTGGAGAAGTGTACTAAAACTCTCTCTCGTTCTTGTGTTTCTCCCACAAGAGAAAATGCTTTAAAGAAATACCTAAAAAAGAATTAAGGGGGAAAAGGTGAATTTTTAGAAAATGTTACCATACTCTCTATGTTTGATGGTTAAAGTTAATTCATTTAAACATAAGAAATTAACACTACAAAGTAATATATTCTATAGTTATTTTTTAAAAATCACTTACTAGATGGCCATTCAATATAAATTTATATTGATGTTTATATTATAGGAACTGTCAATATAAAAGATGACAGAGCCATAACATGGTGGCCAATACATCAAAAAAAAAGCCTTGGGAAGGTGGGTGATTTCCACATATGTTAAGTGTCAAGTAGCCATTTTAAAAGATCAGTCGGATAAAAACTAAAGAACACAAGTCTGGATGCATAACCATGTAGGCTATGTTTTAAACTTTAAAAAAAAATTTTTGGCCATGCCACACGGCATGTGAATCTTAGTTTCCCAACCAGGGATCGAACCCACGCCCCCTGAACTGGCAGTGTGGAGTCTTAACCACTGAACCGCCAGGGAAGTCCCCTGTAGACTATGTTTTAAAACTTGACAAAGATCACAGGTTTTTGTCATTTTGTTACTTGACTGTAATCACCACCGACCCACTTTTAAAATTACAATTATATCGTCTTATGCACAGATTTCTTTTTTTATTATTACTCAAACAGAAAGTCGCAAAAATTATAATCATCCTCATCAGTTCACTCAGTCCCATGTAATTTTTTTTTCATCTTGAACTTTTGTTAGCACTTTTATGAATTCATCAGTTTTCCATTAGCACAGGAGATTTCTGTTAATTTTATTTTGCCTATTATCAACACCATATATTATTAACTTGCTACATGAGGAAGAAACTGGAAAATAAAACCCTAATTTATTTCTTAAATTAGGAATACCAATCTAGATCAATCTAGATCAGAGTCACTGAGAGTACTGTCTATTATAGATGTATCCAGGACCCTCACTTGACAAAGTAGATGCATTTACCTAAACATGAGATGGGAAGGAAAAAATCATTTAAAATGCCCTAAGAAATCTTACTTTTGAAAGAAACATACAATAAAACATATTTCAATGATGAAAGTGTTGCTGTCTTCCTTATCTGTAGTTAATCTAAATTATGTTGATCTAACTTAAATTTTTCTTAACTTTTTTTTATAAACCACATGAGAGAGCAAAGCAAAAATACAGATCTCTCCCCCACCCTTACCTGTTTTCATTGACAAACCTATGAGTACCCTTGATTCACGCAAAGAGCCAGAGACTAACTCACTACTGTGCATTCTAACGGAACATCCTCCCTTTACCTTCCAGGCCTCAGTTTCCTGATTTGTAACACTAGAGCATTACACAAGATGATCTCAGAATTCCTCCAGGCTGTGACACGTTATAAAGTTTATAAGATTAAATGCTTACTGGGTTTTACCTTCAGCTGCGCTTAGAAATTTATACTATGGTATCATGTGAGACGTGAGGGTCAGTGTGTTTCCAACACCTTCACTTGAACAGATCAGCAAAAAGCGCTACTGTCTGAAAACAGTTTTACAGATAATTTCTGCTGATTATTATGTTGATATTCATTTTTATCCCATTCATTAGTTAATTCCAAAGTACTGTCTTAAAGGGCTATTTGGCTATTGTAAAAAAATGATTAGGGAAAATCTAATTCTACAGTCTGTAAACTGTGCCTTTTTAAGGCATTCAAAAACCAGATTCCCACAGATTCCATTTCTCCAAGACTTACTTTGCCACCATTCTTTACTAGGTCGTCTATTTGGTGCAGGATATGAGTTCATGTGTGATTTCATAAAAACAATATATTTTTCCCACTTTCCACCATGTTTAATATCTGTAATACAATCTGAGCTAAGATCACAAAGTAACTGTGGGTTTAAAAAAATAAAAATCATATTTTAGTTTCAGCACATTATTTTCTCTTCTCAGAATTAATTATTTAGAAGCAAAGAAGAACAGAAGTGATGTTTAATCATACCTGAGAGACTGATCCAGTGTCATTCCTGTAAAATCAAAAAACTTCAAATATTCTTCCGCAACTAGTTTGCTAAATTCATTGCTATAAGAAAACAGAATAGACTTGGTTATTAAAATTGAAGCCATCAGAACACACACATACCCCTACAAGGATACACTCAGACACCATGCTTGGAATGGGACATACTTCTTGCCTAGGTGCTTTGCCACATCCGATCTTTTGAATCTGTCTAGTTGATAAAGACGTTTGGCCAACCTTTTGGCTGCTTCTACGTTGCTGCTGGTACCATTACTGAGACTTCCTGAGGTTTCCTTTTCCAGAATTTCAGTACTCCCCATTTCAGAATGAGCCTCTAGCAGTGTTGTTTTCACCGCAGCATTGCTGTGAGAATTGATAAAGAAGGAAACAAAAGAATAGAAAAGATTGTTCTTGTGTGGCAAAAAGGAAAGTAGCTAATGAAATTATCACAATATTGTAGAACAAATGAAAAAACTATTTTAAATGATAGCATCTTATGCTTAATTATTCATAAAAATATTTTCAGTTGCTATATTTTAACATACTAGAGAAGTGATTACTTAAACCCTAGATGAGCAGTTCTCAAACCTTTTGGTCTCAGGATGTTTATATTCTTGAAAGTATAGAGGACTCCAAAGACCTCTATGTATGTAGGTTATATCTAGTGATATTCACTGCAGAGTAATTAAAACAGAAAAATTTAAATATTCATTTAAAAATAATAAATCCATTTCATGAATATAAATAATAATTTTTATTAAAAATAACTATATTTTCCAAAACAATAACATACTATTTAATGAGACAAGCAACAGTGATTTACATCTTTTACAAATTTCTTTAATGCCTGGCACACTAGAAGACAGCTGGATTCTCACAGCCATTTCTACATTCACTCAGTAATAATACATCATTTTGGTTGAAAGTATTAAGAAAATCTGGCCTCACAGAAATATTTAGTTAGAAAAATAGGGAGTATTTTAATATCCTTAATTGTGGATATTCTTTTTTCATATGATGATGGCAAAATAAAACAAGTGGTAGTCTCTTAAAAGTTAGCTGCAATATAAGAATCTAAACTTGTATTAATGAACTTTTTGTACTCATATTAAAAACGTCTCACATGGGCTTCCCTGGTGGCACAGTGGTTGAGAGTCTGCCTGCCAATGCAGGGGACACGGGTTCGAGCCCTGGTCTGGGAGGATCCCACATGCTATGGAGCAACTGGGCCCGTGAGCCACAACTACTAAGCCTGCGCATCTGGAGCTTGTGCTCCGCAACAAGAGAGGCCGCGATAGTGAGAGGCCCACACACCGCGATGAAGACTGGCCCCCACTCGCTGCAACTAGAGAGAGCCTGCGTGCAGCAATGAAGACCCAACACAGCCAAAAATAAATAAATAAATTAATTAATTAATTAAAAAAAAAAAAGTCTCACACTTTGAATGCATCTTACCCAGGCATGATTCTGCCACATGAACTGGTCACTTGCAAAGTATCTGTTGACACATCTTATTATTTAAAAAAATAACATTTATTAATGTCACCACTAATATCCTCAGAAAAGTCTTTAAGTACTGGGAAGCTGCCAAACTTTTGGTGGTAGATACAAGTTTTCCAAAATTCTAATTTTTGATTGAAACGTAAGTTTTATCATTGGCAACAAAAATTGATGGTTGTTTTCCTTAAAGTAATTAAGTAACTCTATTTTCAAGAAAATGTTTGCCAAAACCACAGTTTGTCAGACTTTGAAGGAAAATGGCATTTCCATGAAAAAAGCAAATAGTTTATAGCTCACAACTCAAACTACATGAGTGCTGTTCCTAGACAGCGCTTCATGCATATTTTCCATTTCATTGCACGTGAAATTAAAAAAGCAGGTACCGGGCTTCCCTGGTGGCGCAGTGGTTGGGAGTCCGCCTGCTGATGCAGGGGACGCGGGTTCGTGCCCCGGTCTGGGAGGATCCCGCGTGCCGCGGAGCGGCTGGGCCTGTGAGCCCTGCGTGTCCGGAGCCTGTGCTCCGCGACGGGAGAGGCCGCAGCGGTGAAAGGCCCACATACCGCAAAAAAAAAAAAAAAAAAAAAAAAAAAAGCAGGTACCCAAGTGTTGAAAAGCAATTAATTGGTACTGCTTTATCAAGGACATCTTTAGGTGAAACTGCCCTTTATTTTTATTTTGAATGCACGGCAATGAAGAATGTAACAACTAGAACAGTTTGGTGTTACTACCTTGATTTGTGCTAAGACCCCCACCATTGCTTTTGTACCATCAGTGTGTATCAACACAGTGAAAAAGGAAAACAATGCTGCACTGTTATTATAAAAATAATTTTGACCTCACAAACCCATTGAAAGGGTCTCAGGAAGCCACACAACCACACTGTGAGAACCTCTGCTCTAGCCAGGTGCTGCAGCATGCATCTGTAACACTAAAACCAATAACACTGTGATTTCCAGACCTTCCTTTGGACTTCTAACAGAACAAAGCTATGTTCACGGTAAACTACTTATGCTTAAGTAGTCTTCCAACACACTTACTGTGTAGACTGTAAAGCAGACATAGAATTTTTCTGCAATGAACCAGAGAGTAAATATTTCAGACTTGCAGGCCACATAAGGACCCTGTCACACATGCTTCTTTGTTTTTGTTGTTTTTTCACAACCTTTAAAAATGTAAGCCATTCCAGGCTACACTGAATCCTAGTCTGCAGGCCCTTGCCCTATCCCATAGCTCTTTAACTTGGCCCGAATTGTAAGTAGAGAACAATTTATTGTCTAAACAAGGACACTCTGAAAAGGAAACAGGGATGATAAAATCATTAAATATGTAGTTATAATTGTTACAAGGTAAAAAAAAAAAAAGCATTACCAAAAAAAAAAATAGTTGTAAACTTATAAAAATCATTACAGCAAAGTGAAGACATTTTTAAACAGAACTGCTTAATCTCTATTTTGTCACTTGTTCTACCTACCTTACAATTTCCCATTTCCCACTGATCCACCAACTAAGTGGTAGCCTGGCAGCTTCACTATCACTCAGTGCAGCTGGGCTACTGCACAACCAGCTGGTGCACCAAGGAGCGCCTGGGGGCTGTGGAGTCCCCGGAGTCCCCAACCACTGCCAGACTCTAGCAGCCCCTCTCCAAGCTCACTTATCAGCAAGCACTGCACAAGCTATCTCTGAAAGGAGCTTTAAGGGGAGGGAAAAGGGAGAGAGAGTATCCCACATAGTCTTTTAGACTCAACTATGTGAAATTTCTGTTCAATGCACACGTCAACTCACGCATTCCAGATGAGACTGTGGAGAAGCTGGAAGTACAAAGTGGAAGGTTACAAACCCATGCTGACTTATTCTACTGCAACTATTAATGATAATACTTCATTTTTTTAAAGTCAAAGTCAAATGCTAAACCACAGTCAACACCAAGACAACAGATACAAACCGGAACTGACCCAGGCAAACCAAGATGTTTGGTAACCCTCCCTAAGCAATCAGCCACCTTAAACAATTTTCCAAAAGAAATACCCACCAATTAAAATAAATTGCTTCATTATGATGAATTCTTCGTGTAAATACATTTAAATATTTTTTCATCTTAAACTTTCCTTTATAAAGTTCACATTACCAGCCAGTTTTGTGAAATTTACGCTATCAGAAAACTGAATATTTAATTTTTATATACAGCAAACCTGTAAGTAAATTCATAGAGGACACTTCTTTTAAAGGTCACCTCACACTTTTGTGTTTTCCTAAATAAGTGGTGAAAATGTAAAATATTTACTCTAAGAACTAGTTGAGTTACAGTCAAGTAGTTTTTATAATTATGAAAAGAAAATCCCTGGAGTTGTGCTCCCGTGAATTCCCTTACTCTGCATATTAGCTATTGTGTAGAAAAAACAATGTCAAAGAAAGGATTTTCTTCTCAATTAAACTGCTGCTTAGCATTTTTCACTTCTCAGGGCAAATTCACGGCATGTATTTAATCACTCCATAAAAAAAAGTAATTATACCACATACATAGTACTGCAAAGATGTTGTTCAAATACAACAGACTTACCCTAACGACATTGTATTTTTTAAACGCGGTATTGATTCCTATTCCTTATGTTTCTCATTCCTCATGTTTGCTGCCTCTTTCTCCTATCCTGCCCAGTCTATTTCACCTCATTTTCCTCACATTCACCAGAAGGAGGTAATTTAAAAATGTGTATGGATCAGACTTCTCTGGATCTTCTTGAGAAAACCTTCAGTAAAAAGGAAAATAAGGAATAAAATGAAGATAAATACTTCCATTCCTAGATGGCTTCATTCTGCCCCATTCACAATTTATGAGAGAACATGAACAAGAACAGAGATTGCCCCTTTTAAGTCTGAAAGCCTGGCAGTATGATGGCAATACCAACTCACCAGCAGTACAACAGACACCAAGAACCCATATCTTGGAGCCAAGGGTGCGCCTGGGCCATGCTTCCTCTCACAAGCTCCTTCCCAGGACTCTTCATCCCCTATCTCCACTGTCTGCTGGTCCACTAGGGCTTCCAAGGACCTGGCTCCCTGTGAGGTCATATGTCTATGACCTCACACTCTTGCAAGTGTTTACTGTTGGGGTTTCTGTAATGTCTTTACAGTACTAATAAAAACAGAAGCCAGAACACAGGGTCCACTGTATACCAAGAGCATACACAACAATGGCAGCCCTGCCTTGTTCACACTTGATAAAGCAAACTGGATGACCCCTCTCAGCGGGAGGGACACCCCCGTTTTGTTTCCTGGAATACACAAGACATTGTCCATCTAGTCTGCTGAGTGTTAGATGCTTTCCAATAGTTTGAATTTTCCCTTCTTTTCTACAGTTCCGCTTTTCTTCTTGATCAAGTAACTTAAATCTCCTAAGGTGAAATCCTTACCAGTCACTTAAATATAGAAAAGACCTCCCAAAAGGTTCTCCCTGTGATATATATAAATGCTTCACTAAGGCCTATACCTCACATCTCCAAACATATGTGGTTACACTCTATCATCAATATCATCAAAAGAAGGATCAGATCACTGAGTCTCAGCACCAAGCCTTTTCATAATCTTTTTATCATACTGATTACTGCATTTTCCAAAAAAATTAATAGGACACCCAGTTAAATCAGAATTTCAAATAAACAAAAAACAGTTTTTAGTGAAAGTATGTCTCAAAAATTGCATGGGGCATACTGACACTAAAAAAATTATTCATTATTTATCTAAAATTCAAATTTAACTGGGCATCCTGACTTTATCTGGTAACCCTATCTCCTGAATGCTTGTTCTCAATCAGACTCCTTCTGGGTTTGTTTTGACTTGCTTCTGTGATTTAATTTTTATTCCTACTA